TCCCTGTCTCTTATACACATCTAGATGTGTATAAGAGACAGCCCCCCCCCCCTCCTCCTTCTCCAGGGCACAATGAGGCACCTCAGCAAGTGTAGACAACAACACAAAAAAGAAAAGATTAACAGCAGAAAAGAAGTTATCTTTTTATTATCTTGTGAAAAAAAAACTGAAATTGCACCGTTCAAATGACCATTTTCTACTAGACGCTATGAAGTAGGGTAGATGCTCTCTTGTACGTGGGAATATCTGTTCTAAGGCCACCACCATTTCCCTCTTTCTTTCTGCCATTTCATGTTAGACACAAACAAGGGGCTGTCTGCTCTTCTTGTTTGTGCATATCCGTGTGCGTGCCTGTGCGTGCGTGTGCGTGTGTTATGTTCATTATGGACAACACGAAAAAAAAAAAAAAAAAAAAAACAAACAAACAAACAAACCTAGCTTTACATTCCAGAACTGAACCCAACAGGGAGGGAAAAAAAAGGGAAAAAAAAAAAAAAAAACACCCGCCCACCTACCTTTGCATTCCAGAACTGAACCCCACCCCAGATGAATGAATGGACGAGCTATTCAATCCTATTAGTAAACCCCCAACAGCAACTCGAACGCGGCTATGGATTACATACACGATCCTTTTGTTAATCAGCTTGGCAAAGCCCCTGTCATTTTCTCCATCTTATTGTCCTTTTGTTCACCTGCCTCGTCCTGCAGTCTGGCCTCTTCAAGCCCCTGCTTCTCCCCCACATCGCCCACACCACCTGTCATCTGCTTCTTTGGTGTCCCGTTGGGAATGTCATCAAAATTCCCATAAAACTCCATAAGCGGCAAGTACTCACGTCGCTCAAGGCTGCTCTTGGTCACAAGCTGATCAACGAGTGCATCTATGAGGCTGCGATTCTTTCGCACAATCTCCATCGTGCGCGCATAGGCTTGCTCGAGGATATCGTCGACAGCGTTGTCTATTTCCCAATACTCCTGTCTGGTGTACATGCAGAGCATGAGCCCGTAGAGGTTCTCGTTGTCGGACATTCCACACATGACCATGGACATGGCCAAGTCTCTGGCACCTTCCATGAAGTCCATGGATATGGTGCTGAGGTTATCGGCTCCATTCCAGACCTCGTCGACTGCGCGAGGCGCCAGAAGAACGCAGATGTAATCCAAGTTGAACCGTGCACTCTGCCCACTGATGAGGAAGAGGAAAGGATCCAGATCAATGCGCATTCTCCCGACCTTCTCCCCCAACCGAGGAACAATGTTGACAGCACCAATTGCATCCCGCGTGAAGGGAGAGGCATAGCAGAGGACCAGCTGAGAGGCCTGGTGCAACGCAAGCATTCTCTGGCGTTCTAGACTGCGGGGGCGCGGGTCCTCCACCCCGACTCCGGCCAACGTTACGGCCTCAGAGATATCCTCCTCTCGGATCTTATCCCGCCCTTTGCGCAGCATGATGAGCGCAGCGTTATTCATCGCTTGCGCCAGCTCCGCTCCCGCCAGTCCCTCCGATATCTCTCCGAGGGCCTGCCAGTTCAAGTTCTCCGCGAGGGGTTTCCCCCGCGCGTGCACCTGCAGGATCTCGGCCCTTTGCCTGGGGCCCGGCTTCGGGACATAGATCTTGCGATCGAACCTGCCAGGCCTCACCAGAGCCTCGTCCAAAATGTCCACCCTGTTCGTCGCCGCGATGGTGATGACATCCCCTTTGCCTTCAAACCCGTCAAGATTGATCAGGAGCTGATTCAAGGTGGCATCTCTCTCCTCTCCCCCGCTGCCCTCCGCCATGCCTCGTTTCCTCCCCACGGCGTCGATCTCGTCAATGAAGACGACGGCGGGGGCTTGCTCCTTGGCCTCCGTGTACAGCGCCCTCACACGTGCCGCTCCCACTCCCACGTACACCTCCACAAATTGGGAGGCGGAGATGGCAAGGAACGTCACATTCGCTTCCCCCGCCACGGCCTTCGCTAGTAGGGTTTTCCCGACCCCCGGTTCGCCGGACAACAAGATGCCCGCGGGAATCCTGCTGCCGCGGGAAATGTACTTCTCTCTGTTCTTGAAAAAGTCCACCACCTCCTCCAGCTCATACCGAATCTGGCCCAACCCGGCGCAATCACTGAACTTGACGTGTTCCCCCCCCACTGTGTATCTCTTGGGTGCTCGACTCTTCCCTGCCGCCTTCACCTTTGCACCCGATCGCATGAAACGCATCGCCGCCGACAGATCCGCATTGGACAAGACCGTCTCCACCTCTTTCCTCTTATCTTGATCCATGCCTTCCATCTTCTTCACCAACTCCTCCTGAATCTCCCTCTCCTTGTCTTGCTCCTCTTGCTTCATCTTCTCCCTCTCCTCTGACTCCATAGCCTCCAGCCGCTTCCTCTCCTTGTAGTCCGCCTTCTTCTTTCGTTGCCAGACCACCACCTGGTACAACAACCACATGCACAAGATCGATATGCCGTACAGTACACCCTCCGATACCGGCACCCAGGGAATGGGACCTTCCTTCTTGCGCGGCTCCTTCTTCGTCGGCGGAGGTTGCGTCGTCTTCACCTGCACCGACTCCACCTTCTTCCCCAACTCCAGCTCGTTCCACGCCTTCCAAAAACCCGGGTCATCCTCCCCCGATGGCAGGACCACTCTGAACACCCTTCGCTCTGGCTCCACCACCGTGAACACACGGCCTCGATCCCCTCCCAACGACATCGTCGGATGCTTGATGATCGTCCCAATCTTCCCCGCCTTTCCCAGCTCCAACACCTCAGAGTAACTAAGCCTATCGTAAACCAAAGGGAGCTGCCTAGGGGGAGGTGGGGGAGGGGGAGGCACCTCCCCTGTCCGAGTCGCCGTGTCCTCCTTGGGCCGACCAGGTGCAGCGCCGGTGCTTTGCTTCTTCTTCTTCTTCTTCTTCTTCGTCTTCGTCTTCCCAGCAACTCCGCCAGCACTCGCCGCCGTTGTCATCCCAGTCTGCAGCTCCGCACCCCCATCCCCGCCCCCGCCCCCACCCTCTTCGCCCGCGCGGTACCCCCCCCCGTCTGCTGCGTCGGAGGACTGGCGCCGTGGACTCCGCGGGGCAGCACCCTCCGACTGCGCCTGCAAGTCCATAGCCCCCACCACCGCCGTCATCTTCCGCTGCCCCCCCCGCCAACTCTCTCCTCCTATCCCTGTCTCTTATACACATCTAGATGTGTATAAGAGACAGCCCCCCCCCCCTCCTCCTTCTCCAGGGCACAATGAGGCACCTCAGCAAGTGTAGACAACAACACAAAAAAGAAAAGATTAACAGCAGAAAAGAAGTTATCTTTTTATTATCTTGTGAAAAAAAAACTGAAATTGCACCGTTCAAATGACCATTTTCTACTAGACGCTATGAAGTAGGGTAGATGCTCTCTTGTACGTGGGAATATCTGTTCTAAGGCCACCACCATTTCCCTCTTTCTTTCTGCCATTTCATGTTAGACACAAACAAGGGGCTGTCTGCTCTTCTTGTTTGTGCATATCCGTGTGCGTGCC